TGGTACATTTGGTCTAGAACCGCCACTGTATTCAGCCATTCAGCAAAGATCCTGCTACATGGCTGTACATCTTATTTGGCATTTGACCAATTAGGCGAGCCCTTCAATTTTAAATTAGCTACTGGAAATTAAGTTGAAAATAAAAGTTAACAAGTCAGAAAAAAAGGTAAAAAACTAATTAAAAAGTTAAAAAGCAAAGTTAAAAAGTTAATAAGCCTAGTTAACAACAATATTTAAGTTTATAAACTAAAAAATGTAGGTACCAGTTTCAGCATAGATGCCTCTAAGCTTATGTAGTACAAAAAAAAAAGTTTCTTTTACTCTCAGAGTGATTTTCATGAATTTCTTATAGAGGTACTTTTGTTATTTTTCTTTATATATTTGGGCAACTTGACATTCATTTTTACCCTCAAAATATCAATATTTTCTGAATGTTACAAAGACAGTACCGTAAGTTCCTGTCCTGGATTCCTATAACACTATTGGCTGGAACTTCTGATTTTCAACATATTTCACTGAGTGCCCTATAAAGGGTTAATAAAAGCGACTCTATAAACTTGAGCTGTGCTGACATTTAGTTTTACTCTGAAACTGACCTTGTCCGTTTCCTCCCACAGTCAGCTTTAGAACATTAATGGAGGCGAGTCTTGGTTGGCCAAAGCCGTAGTGTTTCTACCTGTGAATGGCTTTGATGTGCATCTGCAGGCCGTTTCGACTGGAAGCTCGATGGCCGCACTCCTCACACACAAACGGCTTTTCGCCTCGATGCTTCGCCGCTTCGTGAACGCGCAGCTCAGTTCGAGTCAGGAAAGTTTTGGGACACTGCGGACACTAATAAACATTGCGTGCTGTTAGTGCTCTGCTGTATGGAGTCAGAATTCTGCCAAAAGTTCTCAAACATAACAAATACTGATAGGAGTGGATTTTATTTAACATACAGGCATGTGGACCCTGAGCAAGAACCTTAACCATTCAAAAAAAGTTAAAAAACAATCCACTGGACTTTGTTTTTCAAGTTTGAAGATGTTTTGCTTCCCATCCAGGAAGCTTTTTCTATTAAAAATGTCAGAAATAGCGTTGAGTTCGTGACTTTATAGAGTGGACTAAAAACAAAGGCTTGTTTTGGCTTAGAAAACATGCAAATCGAACCTGACGAACGGGTCCGCCCCTTAGGTATGGGGGTCGTTTGGGTTCTTTGTTTACTTGTAATACTCAATACCTGTCTATGTCTCTGAGAGGGGGGTCATAAGAGGGCAATTGGTGGCCTGGCTGAACAGGCGAGATGTTCTCTTTCCCTGTATGGGGGTTAGGGTTGCGATGATAGCGGGAAGGAATCAACTCTATTGCTGCATTGTAGGTTTTTGAAAGCTGGAATCTGAGTCCACCCCCTCTGTTTAAGGTCGGCTCATGTTTGGTTTTGCAGTGGTGTATGCAGCTCAATGCAGTGAGGAATGCTTTGAAGAAACCAAACAACCTCTCCACAGAAGCATGGCCCAACACAGAAGAACGACCTCCTCGGGACAAGACTCTCAGTGGGTTGAGAGAGGTGTGAAGGAAGCCATCTATGTTAACAAAGAAAAACCAACCTTAAACAGAGGGGGTGGACCCAGATGACTGAGAATCAGTCCAGTAAGAAGCTTA